CTGTCATGTCTGTCTCTTGCCACCCACCCTCCTCACGCCCCTCGTGTTCCAATTTCTCCTCTTTATCTCATATTCCATGTTTTCTTTGAATTTTAAACTAGCTGTGTTCCAAAAGAGATAAGACTACATTTTCTTTTATGATCCCAAATAGTGAATAACAATTATTACAGATTAACACATACTATGTTCTATAAAAATTGTCCACTTGAAAAAATCCATCTAGTCATGGTTGTTAAGTCTCCATTTCTTTTTTGTATTTCACTAATATAGCTCACTATAGCACTGTCTTTTTTTCTTTCTCAAACTTGTTAAACTTATGGCTTTTTTTTTTTTTTTTTTTAGTCATGAATGTGTTTTAGTATGTTCTTTATGGTTTTTTTGAAAATGCTAATTTTAACTGATTTTTTTTTTTTCAGCCAATGTAATAGCTAAAGCTAAAGGACTTGCAATTTTGTCTGTTATCAAAGCTGGATTTTTGGTAACTGCTCGTGGAGGCAGCGGAGTTGTATTAGCACGTCTTCCTAATGGAAGTAAGTTGCCGTTTCTCAATCAAACAAAGAATTATAGTGTTTATCTTTTCTACCTCAGGGGAAACTTCAATATAAGTGTAATTCATTTTTCTTCCTTCCTTCTCCCCACCCCCCCTTTTTTTAATAAACTGGAACATAGGAAATGTCATACTGAATCAAACCAGTGATCTGTTTAGTCCAGTAAGTAGCCTGTCTCTAAGGCTGATTTTGACATTAGAAAAATTGTTGTGTGTTCTTCAGCAACCTTGCAACTGTTGACTGGATGTAGCATCTTTGCTGGAAAACAGCACAATGTTTTCTAGTGCATGTGCAGTGTAATAATAGTTAGTGCTAGAGCCTTTGAAATACAGTGAACCCTTTGTTATCTGGCACTCTGTTAACCAGAAAACTTTGTTAACCTGCATTGCCCCCAGCCACAAAACTCACATCTTCAGGTGCACAGGCTTAGCTTGGTTTACCATGATTGGCTTAACATTTTTTTATTTAAGTAGTACTAATCATCTTTAACTCAAAATAGAAATGTGAGACCAACTGCCTCATAGTACAAAACTACTAATATTAAAAATTTGAGTTTTACTATTACTATCCATTGGTTTTTCCTAGGGTGATGGGACCCTCAGATAACCGGAATTTTTAGATAACCGGAACACCCTAATCCCCGAGCGTACTGGATAATATAGGTTTTATTGTAATGTGGAATATCACCATAGTGATATTAAAGCATGAAAGTTAGTATCTCTTGTAATATTTTAACCTAGTAGGATATCCACATATTATCATCATTATAATTTGTGTGATATTTTGCAAATATAGTTCATAGGTTATTTTTATGTTATGCTTGGAAAACACTCCAGTTTAAAAATTAACAAATTTAAATGGCCTTTTGCAGCACTGTGTAGGAAGAAAACCTTATACAGGTCAATCTTTATGAAGTGCACTTGCATGATCATTATTCTAGGAGAGCTCAAGCCTGCCCACAGAGAAGGCAAAGGGGTCAATGCTCATAAGGCCAGCTATTTAAAAAGACCCAGGTGGTTGGGATAGGGAACATATATTTTTTAAATAAAAAATGGGATTAAAAAATGCTGTACCTCGTTGTTTGTGATAGTAAGGTTTGCCAGAGCATTGCTGCACCCTGCTGGTCTGACAGAGTCAGCAGCAACAGCCTAGGGTCTGCGGAACTTTCTGCCTTTGGCTGTTGGGTGCCACTATGCCTGCCATGATGTCTTTGCAGCAGTGGAGCTGAGAGCAGGGAGACTTTAAAGAGAAACAAGCTCCCTCTGTGCTACCAGATTCCACATTTTCCCCCCCGCCTCCAAGGCCATAGCTCCTCGCCAAATACAAGGCAGTAAGTTCAGTCACTCAGTTGAGCTGCTCAACTTTGCTTAGACACAGCCAGAACTAGCTCCCCCATTCGCTACTTCTGGCACTGGTTGAAAGCACACTATGGTGGGCCACCTCCACTGCTCAGCAAAGGTGTGGCTTTTCCCTTTGCCTCTTGAACTTCCTCAGAGATCTCCCAGTAAATGGGGCATACCATGCCTGCCATTTCCTCATTTCCTCTGGTTATTGATGTCCACCAGTAGTATAACACTTGTAAATTGTAAATATGTTGTTCACATTCAATTAAAATCTTGTATATCAGTTTTTCCCTTATTTTTACCTTACATATGAATCTCAAATACTTGATACATTAGGTGTTTTCTTACTTTGTGATTCTTTAAATGTTGTATATATTAATTTCATTCCATAATATATTTATTTATTTAAAATATATAATTCATAATAAATTCTACATCTTATATTTAAACTCACAATTTATTTAACAGTAAAATTAAATACAATAATTTACACGGGGGGGCTCTATTTTTTTTAATCTCTTTGATAATGCAGTAGTGTCATAAACCTTGGCCATCCCTTTCTAGGGGGGTCATTAACTTTTCTGCCCTGGGACACTGAATTGCTGTCAGCAGGCATGGGAATGCTACCCAGAATGGAAGAATTTACTTGCAAATAACCAAGTGTACTGGCTCAGACGTATTGAGGGGCAGGTAGGAATTATGTCCAGAAAATAAGTTGTAAAATAGTTGAGTGTTGAATTGAAGGTCATGTCTACTGGGTACCAAAACTATAAGCATTGTGATATTCTTAATATTTCTTCACCTGTGTTAGGATGAGAGGTTATAGTTCAGCTCTTAGTTACATAATTTCAAGTATTCTGTCATGGACAAAGCCCTAAGTCAGAAGCCGAGCTACACTGAAATGCTGGGAGCAGAGCTATAACAAGGCATTTTAGCACTGGGGTTAGCAAGCATATTTCTGGGGCATATTTCTTTCCCATTTTTTTTCCTCCATGACTTTATGCCCTGGGCAACTGCTGCTTGCCCTGCCCTAGTTATGGCCTTTTTCACAATGCTTGGTGGAGTTTGACACTCATCATGCCTCTCCTGTTACTCAGCTAGCAAGGCTTATTTGTCTCTTGATTTATAATTTAAAATAGTGTGGTTTGTGTTTTAAAATCTATATTTACCAGTACAAGTATTACAATAAATTACATTAGGTAATACGCATTAGGAATTTAATATGCAGAAACTTGCCACGGTATTATGAAATAGTTCATCTTAGCTAATGAAGATATTTAGTGTGCAATAGATGTCTGCTCTAATGATCAGTTTAAATATGAGAACTGATTCTTTGTTTACAAAAATGTTGTGAAAGACACGAAAGCTTAGCAATGAGAAATAACGGTTAGCAGAAATACATGACCACTACTAAAGGTAAGCAAAACCAAATGTTAACTACATTGATGCACCCCATAAAACTTCAAATTGTCAAACCACCAATGTTCTGTGTGAAGTATTGCGATACCTTTATGAAGTATTGGTATTCAAAAGATTAACTGAACCTAAATATATGATGTTTGAAAGATGCTTTTGAAAACATGCACCTTAATATATTAAAACAAATTGCAGACAGTTGGCCTAAAGTAAGAGTTCTTTATTGTAAATAGTGGTGTCTTTGAAATAGTAATCAGAATTACAGTGGAATTTCCAATGTTCAGTATTTTTTCAGTAACAATGTCCTTTTAACTATTGAAATTCAATAAAATAATATTGCAACAGTAAAGAAAAAATATATCAAATAAACTGCCCGCATGTAGCACTGGTTTCACTTGCTATCTACTTGCTTTTGCCAGTTCTCCACGTGCTTTTCATGAAAAGCAGTTTTTGTTTTGAAAACATGACTGTCAAACTCAGTCAAAAAGCACTCAAATTCTCAGGCACATTTCAAAACCAAGAGAAAATGTATTTAGCTTAGTAATTTTTTTTTTTTTTAGGTTTCAGTTTGAAGATTTGGATGTCAAATACAATGACTTGTATTATTTTTCATAATGGATTAGTTGACCTTTAGTTTCTATACTGCTTTTAAATGGGTATATTGCTGAAATTTTGTAACATGTATCTTATTTTGGGTGAGTCAGGTTGGTCTCCTCCTTCTGCAATAGGGATTGCTGGCCTTGGTGGTGGATTTGAAATTGGAATTGAGGTAAGGGAGAATAATAAAATTGTAATATCTTACAAAAGTAGAGGTCTTTATGCTACATCCATAATGTGTAGAAATATGCATTGTTTCAGTGTACATGAACCATAACTAAAATTTATTTTGCAATTATACATGCACAGTATGAATTTTCTCATGTTTTCATAAAATGATATGTTTTGGATGGGATTTAAAAGATCCAGCCACTAATAGATACATTATTAGCTCTCTGTGTTAACTGAACTTATCTGATGTCTTTGCTAATTAACTGAAGTACAATTAAGCATCAACTAATGCATTTCTAAAGAAACAAGTGGTCTGTTGATAAATAAACACTGTATCTGTGATAAAGAAGCGAAATAAAGGTGATGGAATATTTTGTATTTGGACTTCATGGGATTAGATACGGATTTTGTTTGCAGATAACATGACATGAGATAGCTGGGTGTGCTAAATAGTAAGAAGAACTATAGTACAAAAAAAATTGATGGGCGCAAGTGAAGGTAACTTACATAAAAACAAATAAGCAAAGCTGCCCTTTTTTAAAGTTAAAGCTAGCTAAGTGATTACAATGGATTACATTAATTAACAAAAAATTTAAGTTTTACATGAAAATCACTTTAGCATATATCAACAGTAAATTTGCTCTTAAATAGTGTGCGCTGTTTCTGAACATTAGAAAATGAAGTAATAAACTTCTCAATGCCAGAGGTGAAATATTCTCTGCTATAGTGAGAGGCACCCAATGTAAAATGTGTAAGGTTTCTTACAGTGGTCTCTAGAGAAAAACACATATTTTGATTCTTTTCTTACTGGCTTTGCAAAGCATGCTGTAACAGTCAAGGATTTAAATTTACATTTATGTCAGGCCCAGACTTGCTGTACTGTGTCTTGGGGTGGTGCCAAAAATAATATCTCTTGACAGAGAGGTGCAACTTTTTAAGTAAGGTGCACATGAGCCATCAGGACAAGAAAAAGTGCCTAATCATTCAAATTCTAATGCATGTATGTTTTATATGTATTTCTATAACCACACAACACTTGATTTTTCTTTCTTTCTTACTACAGTATAATATGTGTGTGTACTTCTTTAGATTAAAGTGCAGGACAGACTTCCTCCTGCTTCCTGTAACACTAATGTAAATTTTTATGCATCAAAGCACCTTGTTACCTAATTTCACAGGAGACCAATCCAGGGTTACACATATACTGATTTAATCAATTCCACTATTGGATCAAGTGAAAAAGTAATGGAACTCCTCCACACATGCACCCCCACATTCATACACCTAGACAGTCATACACTTACACATGTGATGAGTTGCACAGAGAGGGCAGAAGATGCCAAGCATGGTGGGTGCTGTGTGTCTGCCTGCCGTCACCAGTCTGGGCCAGCGAACTGATCATAGACTTTAAGGTCAGAAGGGACCATTATGATCATCTAGTCTGACCCCCTGCACAGTGCAGGCCACAGAATCTCACCCACCCCTCCTAGAATAATCATATGGCCCTTGGTCTACATGCTTTCTTCTTTTCTGAGCTGGGTGGCCTCTCACATACACTCAGTTCTTTCTCTGTGTCTGTCACCGAGAGGCCCACTCTGATCTCTTTCGCCTCATGCATATTCATTTCTTCTTCTCATCTTCACTGTACCTCCATTTCTTTCCTTTTTCATGTGCAAGCGAAGATCAGATCAGACCCCACCTAGCTCCTGGCTCCAGGTCTGTAGCCTCATGGCTCCTCTCCTCAAAGGCACAGACATTACCCTATTCACACTCTCTCTCCATTCACACCCACCCACCAACTCCCTTGTCACAGAATAGAATGTTGCAGAGCTTAAAGATTATCAATTACAAAGCTTGCAAGAAGTTGCAGAACTTGAAACATTACATGAAAGTTGCAGAAAGTTACATGGTTTATAATAACAGAAAGTTGAGCTGGCTTACAATGACTGAAACTTACATGACTTAATTGAGAGTTACATGGCTTACAATAGCAGAGTTACATAGAACAACTGAGTCACACAGCAGAGAGTTACATATTAAGTCACGTGACTTTTACTACCTGAAAGTTACAGACTTACATTACAAAAAGTTACATATTTTACATCCACATTATACTGGACTGGGCGGAGCACTTCGAGAATTTCCTTCTTCCTAGCTCCTCCAGTATCTTGGTATACTTTCCTTATATGCAATTGGCTGTTCATATGGCACATTTTGTTCCAATAATTATTCAGCTCATATAACTTAATTCTATGTAAGTGTTGTGAATATAAATTTTACTATACACAGATTGACAAAAATTCCATTGATCATAAAAATGTACACCTAGCAAAGTAAGAAAAATGCCTGAGAAGCTTTATTAGAATAAAAAAATCCAGTAATTTAGACTTTTAAATTAGGCTTGATACAAATGGATTAGTACAAACATGTCTGATTTGTTGAATTAAGAATATTTACTTTGAATATTTAGATGTGATGTTGACAGTTTTTGTTTTAAAGGTTTTAAAACTTTAGTTGCTGAATCTCAGCATTTATGGTTAAATAGTTGTTGGAACCCCATAATTTCTCACAACTATAAGCATTACAGTCAATAAAATCTTTAAAATAAATATCAATGTATTATCTGTCAATTATGAAGATGAAATTCTGCCAAGCCTGTCTATAAGAGTTCTTCTCTAGTGTGTGTTTATGTAGTTCTGAACCTGATAGAATCCTTACTATTAGCGAAGTAGTAAACAAAGGACTATTTCTTAAACTTGTTTATTCCCTGAAGGTCAGTCACTCAGGGAGCCATGATTTTTATATTTTCAGTAAAATGTGATTCTCGACAATCCCTCCATAATGTTTTGCGTGTGGGCCCAACAGGCAGCCTATCTACTGGGATGCCATGTCAGGACAACAGATAGGTGTATCCATCCCCTTCTCAGAATTGAATCTCCGATCACCTCTACTCTGCATTTCCTTCTGGGAATGATGGCTACAGGCCTCACAGCCTTGGGGGTATACAGCTTCTCCTCCACCTTAGGGGGTGATACCTCATCTCTTGCTGGCAGAGCAGTATAATGGTTCTCCATCACCATATGGGAAGGGTTGAATGTAAGAAGTAAGCTGCTCCTATTGTCCTCTGTCTGACAGAGCCCAACACTTCCTCCTCTAGTGGTGTGACAGCAATCTCCTATAGCTGGACTGCTTCCTTAGCCTTGGATGTCTCCACGTGAATATTCCTGAGGACTTTCTCATGGGCACAGATGAACCTCAGCCTAGCTACTTCCTCCTATAGCTCTTCCACATGCTTGCCTGAGAGATTCCACTAACTGGCAGCTTTCACATTGGATGATTCCACTCTCCCAGCCTGGTTTTCTATGAGTGGAAAATGCAGTCCATGTGATATCTTAAAAAAAGCTCAGCCTGCTTACTGGTCAGGGTTCTCTGAGGGGTTCTCTACCCTACAAAATTAAGTTGACTTTAATTATAGCAGTGGCGCTAATTAAAGTGGTTATCCACATCTGTCAGTGCTGGTCATTCTCACCAGGAGTACTTACACCAACTGTTGTGGGGCATTGTAGGACACTGTCAGTTGGAGCCTGGCATCCCTGGCTGACATCTCAAGCTGTTGGTGCCAGACTGTATTGGTGTGGGGGGTTTCATCCGTTAGCTCTTCTTAGGACTGACCGCCAATAAGCTATGTAAGTAATGCACTGTCTACATGGGCATTGGGTCACCCTCACTACATCAACATAAGCACTACACCTCTTATTGTGCAGTTACGTGGGCTTAGTGGTGACTTCAGCAAAATCAACATTGTAGTGTAGACAGTGCCATAATTATTTGACACAAACAATGTAGTGTAGACCAAGCCTAATTAGAATTGTCCTTTATGTTTGTTCCATTATTTTAGTTAGAATAAAAGTTTTAATATTGCTGTGCTGTTTGCTTCCCTTGGATGAAATTCACAGCCCAAAAAAGTGGGAGCCTACTGATTAGTCATTCTACCTTTGTGATCCTGGGCCACCCAAGTCACTGGAAATGCCACAAATGTAATTTAGAGCATGTCTACACTGGGGAGTTATTTCGAAATAACAAGGCAAGTGAACACACTACGAAGCCTGCTATTTCAAAATAGTGGGCTTGTTATTTTGAAATATTAACTCCTGCTTATGAAGAGGAATAAGCTTCTTTTGAAAGAGTTATTTCAGGAGTTATTATTTTGAAATAAATAATCTGGTAGTGCAGACACAGGCTTTCATTGCTCTCTAAGGCTATCTAAATTATAGCAGACTCCTTGGGCGGCTTTGTGGAATGTAGTGCCATGTGCTATAACCCTGCACTAGCATGTACCTAGCCAGCCAGCCTGTGCTTTTTGCAAAGCATTCTTAATAAGCATTTAATCGGTATCAGCGGCTCCATTATCTTTTCAGGGATTAGTGTCAGCCTGGTGTCTCATTTAATTGGCAAACCACCATAATTCACTTGCTGTGGCTAGAAAATGGTTTCCATTGATAATGGGAAACCATAATCATAGGTATTTTCCTAAATGGCTTTTTTTTTCTTTTTCCTATTGCTTCCTTCTTTCAGGACAGGTGAATGGTAAGCGAAGAGAGAATAGCAACGACAAAAATGTGTCTGCTGCATCCTTGGTCATGTGGTCACAATATTTAAATGGTCAAAAGTAATACAAGTGCTCAATTTCTTAATCTAATTTTTCACTGGGTGGATATATTAAAGCTGGTTAACTCTAGAAAATGTTTAATGTACCCCTGTGTTCTTGCTCACCTGCAGATTTGCATGTTTATGTTCGTTCTTTCTTGAGAGAGATGAACTTTCAAATATTTGCTCTAAATAGCGCAAACAGTTGTTTTTACTTGATTTATAGGTCTCAGATTTAGTGATAATATTGAACCATGAAAGAGCAGTTGAAGCTTTTGCGAAAGGTGGCAATCTTACACTTGGAGGAAATTGTACAGTGGCAATTGGGCCTTTGGGGAGGTGAGTATCATTAACATATAAAATTATTTAAATATGTACATTAACAAAAGTGTACTTCCATAATCCTATTTAAAATATACTTGTAAGTTTTACTTAAATTACTAAGTAGTTTGTTAGAATAAAATATTCTTTCCTTTACCTGAATACCAGAAGTACTCTTAATACTTTTGTTCACTTGACCAGTGATATAATATGCCAGTTTAATTACACACAGATTGTGCAGTC